TTAATCTTACTTATTCATATTTATTTTTATTTCGTAATTTGCCCCATGACTTCATGCTGTGATCCAGGCTTTCAGAAAGCTGGGCAGACGCGGAAAGCTGATGATCCTGGCCCACAGCACGGCGATGTGCTGCTTTGATATGCTGGGATTGGAGCAATCACATCAAAAGCAAAAGCGGTCAGTCAAAAGCAATGGACTGCTGTTCTTTCTCAGTTTGTTGTCAGAAAATAATGTCAAGCACTAAGGTCATGTCCAAGGTATCAATGCGTTCTACCTTGCCAGGTTTGAGGCAAGGATGCATGACAAGGACGCTAGAGCCGCTAGTCGCTCGTCTCTCTGTGAGGTTGCCTACAAGCATGTCGCGCTTCAAGCAGCTCACTTGATTGACACAAACACTGCAACACCTGGAGGTCCAGATATGCTCTGAAAAATGGCAGAGTCGCAGCACATCACATGTTCCATGAGGCTTTGGCCATCTTCTTGTTCTCGATGCCAAGGTGGTCCACCTGAGCGTTGGATCATAGACTCACCATCGGAGCTGACCCCAGCGGTGCCGCACTGCTCGGTCCCAATCTTCCAATCCAGCGATATCCAGCGTGCTGTTCCACTTGTTGCTTGTTACGTTCGTAGCTTCTTGCTCCTAGTAGCGATGCCAGGAGCCCCTAGTAGCGTCCGATCGCTCCTAGTAGCAAGGCCAGGAGCCCCTAGTAGCTTCTTGTTGCTATATGTTGCATTTGTATGGTTTGGTTCGCTCTACATAACTCTACCAAGTGTATGACGTATCCGCAAGTATCGCCCTCGGCACCCTTGGGACATGGCCTCCTCTCTGGAAGACTTCAGCTGTGCAGCGTACCGCTCGAGGTCCCGGCCTCCGACCGATGATGTTGGTGCCACTATGGAATCCCGGTTTAGGCATGTTTAGACAAACAAGCGAATCCATTTCGATGTGCGATGACCATGATTCTATAGCTGTGTGGAGGACTCCAGCTAGTGGCAGCTTTTGTCTGTTCTGTCATCTCTCAATGCTTTCGTTCCCAACCTCTCGACGCCTCCGTGTCACGAAGACGCTCTGCCTACACAACACATGAATGAGCACATGGAACAATCAAGAAAGCAAGCTTCATGTTCGCTTGATTGCCTTTCTCCCTGCTTCCTGTTCACTTGCGCAATCTTATTATATTTATAAGTATATATAATATATACATATATGCCTTTCTTAAAAAAGAGAAATCACCGCCTCATTCTACAAACTCTCAAACACCTCACTTGCCAGCCTCCTCATTGTGTTGTTTCTGCGCCTCGAAAACACGCATGTGGAGCTCCTGCAGTGAATTGTTAAATACATTTAAATAATGTCACGTTGTGGCCGTCCGGCTGAGATTGTGAGATTGTCCCAAAGGCACTTAAAGCACTGGTTTCAGTACCAAGTCACTGGATTTCAGCATACTGAAGAAAAGCACAACCTGCTATGACGCACGCTGTCCTCATTCTCTTGGATCTTCATCATCAGTTCATCCCGGAGAACCGCCAAGCTGAGTCATGGGGCAAGCGGCATTCACAAGGACTTACAAAGGTGCTAAGGAGGGATGCGTGCTTGACATGACGATGCCACATGAAGTCTTTCAATGTCAAACACTTGGGCGGAGGCTCATTTTCCGCCTTTTGAATGGCCTAAAGCGGGGTCGGGCCGGGCTGAACTTTCATGTGACAATCGACAACATTTGACGCTGATCTCGCCTCTTGCTGCTTGCCTGAGATCAAGCCGCCCATCGACCTCACCACAGCTACTGATGCAGCAATATGCAGCAGTCATGTTGAAGTCTCTTGAAGCATGACCAATGGCCAAGGCTCTGACCATGTGCTCTGGGTGTGACTCTTCCGCTGCTCCTCGACCTGCAAATTGGTCAGTCTTTGTCTTGCAGCAAAAAATCCTTGGCAAACTGAAGGGCAAAGTAACTCCTGCCTGTGCAGTCAAGGTACCAAGTTGCTTGGTCATGCGACTGTTCTGGTACCTTCAAACGGAAATATCTCGGACAAAAGGACTTGGATGGACGAGAATCATTCGCGACAAGATTGTAGCAATTCTGAAAGGATGTTCAACAACTTCCACAAGACAGCTATGGCTGTGATGCTTTGGCGTGCATACTCTGCGGTCTTGGGCCAAATCACCACTTTGCTACACAGGTTACTACTGAATACTACTGAGACAAACATACACTAGTGCCATGTAGTGCCTACGAATAGGGCCTTCAAGCGGAGTGAACCGATTGCAGCAGCAAGGTGACCAACGAACCAGGTGACCTGGAACCAACCAGGCCCCCGGCTGCAAGCGATCAATCTCTTCCAGCTGCTGTCGGATCGTCGTCTCCTTCTCCTCTCAACTTCAGTCTTCTCCGAATGAATAGCTTTTCTTTCTTGTTGTTTAGTCCGCTCCTACTTAATTAAGTAGGCGCCTACTTAATTAACTGAGGGAGTAAGCTACTAGCCACGTGTTTAAGCTACTACCTACTGAGTCTACTGGACATTCCGCAAAAGCGGAGCCCAAATCCCTCAAGTCCTTGAGCTGTTCTTCCAGCCGATTGCACTCCTCTGAAACAACTCCCTGCTTGAGATCATAAAAAAGTTGGAAAAGGCCAGTCTTATGCAATATGTTTCAATTGATGCCTTTTGCATTGCTGGAGCTGCGTTTGGCATTTTCCAGCATGATTTGGGTTTTCTCTTCTTCACGGTACCCCTCTCTATGAAGAAGTCCTCCTGCTTGTCCAGGAAGCCTTTCTTGAGGGTTGCATTTGCCTTAGATCGCGCAGCGTACGCGCCAGTGTCAAGTACCCTTAGAAACATATCATGGCCAGCCTGTTTGAGTTGGTTGTATTTCTCCTTGAGCTTCTGCACGCGCTCAGCATCCTCCATCTTGTTCGGCTCAACTGGAGCATTGCCCAGTCTCACTTTGGAGCCCCGATCTTGTACCCCCCAGTGGACAATAATTCAACACCTAACATGGAATGTGCATGAATGCGCATGTTTCACCGCACAGAATGACCTATAACTTTAAACAACCAATCTTAACGGACCTTACCGGACACCTTTCAGCTTCTAATCGCTGAGCTGATATTGCTGTTTCACCCTCATACAATCAAGTGAGTCTACTGCTGTTGCATGTCAACAACACCTTTGAATCTAGCCAATGGCTCAGGCTGCTGACAGCAATCTAATAGTCTGCAATCAAATTTGTTCGTCACGAAAAGGTTCAACCCATCAAAATGCACCCATGAAAACTCGATCTGGATCCACACTCATTTGGACGTCTCGCTGAAGTGAATCGATAGGACTCGCGTGCGAGCTCATGAGGCCAAGGCACAACCAGTTTGACATGAATCGAAACAAGCAGTGCTAAGGAGCCCTGTTCAAAGTAGCCAAGGAGCTGCCGAGCAGTATGTACAATGTTACAAGTCATTGCTGAGCGAAGTAGATCTGGTGTCTGGATCCGATGGATTTTAAATCTTGCCAAAGGGACATTATTAACAAAACCAAATGGGATGCTCGATATTGATGATATTGGAGATTCGACATGTAGTAGTTAAAGTATACCAAAGTCCTTTTCAGCAAAACTGTTTCGAACAGTTCTATAAGTTCTATATGCTATATGCTTTATAATCAGCTGTTGCTGGATTCATGTTCTTCTCTTGAAAATGCATTTGTAGAATGCCGGCAACATCCAGCAACTGCTGCTTGTTGCAACAGGTGCAAGATCGTAGCGGCAGTGTGAGAACAATGGAGACATTTGAATGGACTTCTGACTTCTGCAAGTGTGCACGATCAACTCACTCCCACTGGGCCAAGAATTCAGCACATTGCTATCGCTGTTGCAGGCCGCAGGGTATCATTTCCCATTGCCATTGGGGCCTGGACTTCAATCTTTGACAAGTGGCCACCCACAAATCTATCTTGCACACCACCCAGGTGCGCCCGGCATCTTTGCCAAGGGGTTTCAACGAGTCGTGAACAAATATAAACATTTCAACATCGAAATCTTCAGAGCGTTCCGCTGTATCAGATCCTTGAAACTTGGCGTGGCTCCTGTACAGTTGAATACGTTCACTTTTCCATTGCTAGTGTGCTTCACTTCACCTGATTCCTACAAGTAGCAATTGTCTTGTTCACCGCGTTTCTTTAACGCTTTCAGTTGTTTCATCTAACTGATTCACTCCAGTACTCTGAGATTGTTTGGTAGTCTTTTTCAGTGAGTCTTGTGCCAAAGCCCTGAAAAGTCTGCATGACGTTGATTCTGTTGCAGCCAGGGTTCTTTTGTATCTTTTGTGTTGACACAAATTAAACGCCCATGGACCATACAGTAACTATTTGGTTACACACCCGTGTGCTGCTGGTGATTTTGTGGGTGGAGACAACCCAGTCGCCACGCAAGGCGAAGAGTGGCGCTCGATCTTTCTCTGAAATTAGCGCTGCGACTGATTTGCCTAAGCGGGTAATGGTCCAATAGCAACAAAATATTTAGAAGATAGCAATGGCCTCCAACCTACTAGCGATGGCCTCCAGCCTAAAAGCTGGGGTCAAGCTGAGAAGAAAAGCTTAAAGTATATAACTTCACCGCCAGGCACAAAAGTCAGTGCACCGTCTGCAATCGAGACTGACGATGGTAGTTACCCGAATGGAAACAGTTATATATGCGCTTGAAAACTGCAGGGAGAGTATTACAATGGCAAACACATTGTTCTATTACATCTCCAACTACCCTTCTTCCAGTGGGCCTTTGGCAGGTCTCCCTATTTGAATACACCATATTCTATGGACTCAATTGCTTGGATTGCTTGGCTCGACACCAAGCAAGTCTTGCTTGAAACACACGCTGTGATGTGATGTGGTAGATAAGTAAGCTGAATAAACTCCCAGGTCCAAACACCAAATGGAGGTCGCTGAGAATTGATTTTCAATCAAAGCACGGCGTCTTGTCCTGCAGGCTGCTCTCAGGCCATCACTGGTCATCACGTGTCACCATTTGCCTGGCTTCCCATGTCCAGGCCAGCACCGGTCTCCTCAAGTCAAATTGATGCTCTGGTGAATAAGTTCCGTGAACATTGAAATTCATCATTCCGCCGCGTTGCTAAATGTATGTGTAGGGGACGTGGGCAGCAATTTATCTCTGGCGTTGCGTTTGCATTAGTTCTCATAAAATTATCTCCAAGTCAGTACGACATGATTGTTGCTGCCCTGCCCCCGTCAGCTTGTTCCTATCGGCTCTGTTTGTTGTCAAACTTGTAAACTCGAGCACCGATGCAAGGCATCAACTGTGGTCAGAACGAGACATCTGATCACGATGAATTCACCTCCCCTTGCAAAAACAGGCGAGAAGACACCCAAGCGTCCTCTGGATCTTCCATGATGCCTGCTGCTTGTCTTTTCCACATGCCACTGTAGCTGGAGCCAGAGCTCAACAGGGCTTCATGGTTGCCCCGCTCCACCTGATCCCACCAGGCAGTGCTCGATTCGTGCTCAAACACTTGTCTCTTTATGTCTCTTTCCTCAAAGTTGAACATGCATGCCTTACTCAAGGACCTTTGTCCCAAAAAAACATGATGAAGCATTCTTGTCAATAAATACAGTTAAATTATGCTAAATGAGATTAAATGGGCACACTACCACCATGTTCAATGTCCCAAGTACTAGTAGCTTAGGTTATATAGCAGTTTCAATCTCAAAATTAAATACAATGGCGCATCCATCTTTGTCCTCTAAGCACGAGTCGTGAGTGCGAAAATGGATTAAGCAAAGCCACGATCTCTCCACTTTGTAGCACGCAAATCTCATCGTAATTCTTGATGGTGCTAAGCCGATGTGCAATGGCAATGACCTGAGTTTTACCTACAATTAGACAGAATTGAGACTGTTTAGAAAAGTTGCCTTCCAAGGGGGATTCCCCTACGTCAATGCAAGTGGGAAGCACGGTAGTTGTTTCTCATTGGACTCCACTCCAAGGCACAGTTCGAGAGGCGCTGAGAATATTGAGGGCTTGCTGGATCTTTTGCTCGGTTTCGGAGTCCAGTGCCGATGTTGCCTCATCCAAGACCTGAGGCAACTAAGTCTGACACGGCTCTAAGCATCGATTTGCCCAAACAAGTCTTCCAGCTAGTTCTTTATTCAAGTATCTGGTTAATTCTGGATATCTCATGCTGCTTAAGCCTCTACCCTCCCCTCAACAATCATGGAAGTGGACAATGACATCCCGGAATACTATGTTCCTCTACAAACATGAGGTTGTCCACTTCCATGTTTGTTGGGGCAGGGTAATTACGTGACGTGGTCCTTTGCGTTGTTGGCAGTTGCGCCACATGTTTATCTCAGCAAATGAAGAAATGAAGCCGCCTTTCATTTAGCTTCATTTGCTTTGCGTACGAAAGCGATTTGAACATTTTTGAACTAGTTGCGGAGGTCATTTGAATGTGGTATTTTGTCTCGCTGCCAATGCCGGACGTGTTTCAATGCCACGAACCAAAGGCTTGCATCTGCCGCCGGGTGGGATCATGGAGATCGATGCATCAGAAGAAAGAAAAGTACTGTAAAAGAAACAACATGGTTATTTTCTCGAGTAGTCTTTGACAGAGCCTGCAGAATGGTCAAATCTGTGGGCGTGTTTCTTTGTCTTTGCTTCCGTAACGTATAATTTGGCATTACAACAGTGAGACCCATTGAGGAACACTCTCATGGTTGAGAAGCTTCCCCGGGCTCAACATGGCTCAACCTGGCATTCTCCCCTCATTGAACAAAACTGACTCTCGCACATGGGGCCACCTTAATGAGATTGCAGCTATTTGTGCGGTACTGAAAAGTCACCTCACACCAGAGCGATGAGCTCGCTAACATTTACTGAAGATCTTGATATATATATATATATTACATAATTTTACATATATTTTACATATAATACAAAACCCTTGACATTCTGCTCATGAAGTGCCACCCAAAGCACAACAATCGGAGGGTCCTTCACCAAACACCTGGCTATGGCCAACCTTAGCAGACGCTCGCCAATACTGAATTTCTTCCTTGGCTTTGATTTCGTCGAATCTTTGGGCATTCTTAGTGCTCCGCCTTTGCTTTTCTCCTCCGCTCAACTTGAGGCCCCGCTCGCCAACAATGGTTTCCTTGGACACCGTTCAAGACCATCCAACGACTCCCTCACAATCACTCCCTCACGATCGCTGTCGATCATTCTTCTTTGATTCTGCTCTAAGCGTCGTATCCCTTCGCCTGTTGATCGATGAAGGCATCCAACTGGGCATCAACTGCAGCTCGCTGGATGTCTTGATCAGTTGCCTGCATTCACTTGTCTTTCTTCATTCTTGGCTCAGAAAGCCAAGTGTTGGGTCAGAAGCACTTGTAGCCCAGCGCTCAAAGGAGGACTGAGGAGCCTTGTCGACATTGCCATACTTCAGATTGTGGGTGATGGTGGAGTTGAAAAGAACAACATCCTGAGCAGAAAAGGTTCAAAGCCAAAGCTGTGAAAGAATGGCTTGAATGGTTCGTTCAAAGCTTCGTTTAAAAGACTCTCCAACAATAGCTATGGCTAGATTTTGTTCCGCTCAACAGGATCTCTAGAGGTTGACTCGTCCGACTCGTCCTGCGGAACCATTCCGATGGCGGCCCTGAGGCTTCGTTGATTGATCTTCCTGACATCTTGTCCATTCACCATCACTTGTCCTTCACAAACATCATGTCTGTTCCATCACAGAACATGGAGAAAAAACAATAAAACACATATTTCCATGCTTATTGTGTGCTTAAAGAAGAACATTCCATTGCTTGAGAAGCGCTGGATGCGACTATTTACAGTGGCAACTGACGATGCTAAAAAATGTGAGTCTCCAATGAGGCTCATGATTGAGGAATGTCTCCCAAAGTCCTGACACGACGTCATAGAAGCGGAAAAGCAATCGAGTGATTGTTGTCTTCCCAGCTCCGGTAGTCCCAACCAAGGCCAAGGAGCCACCTCTGGGAATTTTGAAGCTGACATCCTCGTGGCAAGAGTGGCTTCATTTCCTTTTGCAATGTTTGCCTCTATCTTTACCTTTGTCATCTTTTCATGGCAAAGGTATGCAAAGGAAAGATACTTCAAACCACCCGTCCTTGATGGCCCTTCCAAGAGGTTGCCTCACCAAAGCTGTGCAATTCCGAGATTCACATAGGTGATTTGAGATGTTTGAAACATCTTAATCAGTTGTGATCTGTAGTAAATCTGACCCAGCATCAGCGCTCATTGCACACAAGTGCACCGTTTTCTATTTCTTGGATCTGAAAACATCAACAATCGGAATTGAACCGCGTTTAAATCATGGACTCTTCCAGACATGCCCCTCCATTTGCTGCACCAAGGCACTTGCTATAATGAAAGCAAACTTTCTCAAAAGCCACCATCGCCACATTCCGCACGGATAGGTCAAGGTCAGGTGCTCCAGGCATATCCTGAAGAGGCGGAAAAACATTATTGCAAAGGATTTGGCTTGTGAGCGCAAAGAATTTACGCTTGTGTTTATAATGTATACTGAGCAAAGCCCGGTGCTGGGTTGGAGGAGGTTGTTTTGTTGCACATCCTCTGGCAAATGCAGTATGTAACACTTACAGTACTTAACGGAACTCAAAAGAACTTCTGCGCTTTCTTTAGCTGCTGGAAAGACTTGCATCCGATGCTGCAACAATACAGTTATCATCAGTTATCACCATTAATATGTAGAAACATAACACTCCAGCTGCTGGTTACCGGTTTCACAACAGCCGACAGCCTATGCATATCTGTCTGCAAAACTCTTGCCTTGCTGGGTGTAAGGATCAACGTGGACTTTTCCTCTTCTCAGATTCTCTTCCACTTTTGATATTTTATCTACCTGATGCTGATTGACTTTGTCGCTTCGTCTTGGTTAGGGTGCTTTGGAGGAAGAGGGGAGACCCGACTCAACATTGCGAAATGACCGTTTTACTGCAATGCAGCTACCTGATACCAAACGGTTTCCCCCTGCCTGCACTTCAGAGGTCTCTGCCAGTAGCTGACCAAAGCTTTTCATGTCGACAATAGCATTCACCACCTCTGAACTCCCGGTAGAGGTTGCAATACTCTGATCAACATTCTACAACTTCTGTGCTCCCTTTCTTTCAACCACAGATGAAATGGCTCACATGACTGCCTTCAAAATGTCTGCCTACGCAGCTGGCTCTTTGCTGCAAGATAAGTACTCAGCGCTAAGGTCTGAGCCATATTGTAAATTGTCCCAAGGAAATTCAGAGGTGTGAAGACATTGATGATGTACCTACACTGGACTTTGGAAAAACTGTCATTGGCATAGTTGGTAATCAGTTGGGGCTGCCGTTGAGGGTGCAAAAGAACTATCACATGACATTCACCATGCATTGCTGCTAACTAAGGCGAAGGACGTGTTGACGGCAACGAAATCTCCGAGGTTTCCACTTGTCTGGCATGGCAATGCAACACAATGCAATACAGTGGCAAAATCAGCTGTTAAATGGACCTTCGTATCCGAACTACCAGCGGCCTCAAGGACACGAAGAGTCGCCAAGATCCTCAAGGCAACACGTTTTTGTGGCTGGCTTTCGATGCAAAGTATACTGTATCTCGTGTAAGCAAATCGATCATCATGAGATGCATTGACAAGAATGCCCGCGCATCTCGACAGACACCATGGCTACTCATCCCCGTGTTGTTTGTTTCTGGTAAACTTCGACAAGTAAATAAATGTGGAACAAACTCGGCTTTGCCACAATAATGAGTATTCGCAAACAACTCAGGTCGCGGCATTCCACCGCAAAGGGTGAAATTGACGATGAGCTGCTGCAGGATGTTTAGAAGTGACAAGGACGCCTGCCCAGCGCTTTGCTGCATAGCCTCCACCCTAGTAGCGATAGCCTATGAGCGATGGCCTCTGACCTACTACAGTAGCGAATGGTGTAAGATACTGCGGTGCAAGGCACTGAGGAAGTCAGCCTGAGTAGCCATGGATGTTTTCTGAAAGCTTTCCACCAAGGATCGGTACCTCTTGACGCGTTGTGTCTATGGAAATCATCACATGACATGTTCGAAAAATAAACGTTTGGATTCTTGGATACATTTGTAATATATATATATGGATATATCACATCTATATATGTGTCAAATCATGTCAAAGAGCACTCTCGACGCTCGTAGTTCTCTGCTGTGAAGTACTTGACCGTCTGCCAGGAAGGAATTTGGATCAATTTGATTGAAGCAGTGTCCCTGGCCTCATAGTTTACCAGCGAATCTGTCAGGCGGTCGTGCAAGTCATTGTCATGTTTTGTCGTTGCAGTTCGGAACCTGCCAGCCGTTGAAAGTGTCTAGCAGTCCACCATAGTCCGCCCCTGCTAGCTGGTGACATCCGTCTGCACGTTTCAACTTCATCTCAGGGCGCACTTCTTCCTCCAAAGGGTGATCTTGATCGTGGCATACATGTAGGCCGTCAGGTTTAGAATAACAAAGACCTCAAGTCCCATCAGATTTTGACAGTGCATCTGCTTTGTGTGGAACGCTGCACCTGTGCATCTGCTGTATCTTGGAACCTTGCTGCCAGCTGCACGTTCTCAAAGTGGAACACGAAAATGAGAGTCACCTTCAAACGAGGCTTTCAATTCAATGCGCTCATGCAGCATCTCAGCCTAGCATAAAATAGTGCACCAAAATTATGATCCTGGGCCCGCACTGCCAACGCTTCCACAAGGGTCGGAATCAAGTAAAGGACAACATACTGCATTGTCTGCTGGGCAGCCTGCTCCAGAGCCAGTCTTCTATCACAGGCAGGACAATGGTCTGAAAGCGGCTTAGTTCAAAGCCTGGATACCTCTATCCATCGAGCGAACCACATTCCTGCCATGCCGTGAGTGGCTCTCTTAGCATAGAGATTCTACACTCTCACTCTTCAAGGCCTTGCATTGTGTGTCTCAACAAGGATTAGTAACAAGAGGAACAAAGGGCATCGCTACGAACGGAGCAAGGATGCTACTAGGGCGCTCCTGGCCTTACTACTTAGGAGCAAGAGAACGCTACTAGGAACTCTCACTCTTCAGTCTTTAGTGCATTGCATCGTCTCAACAAGGATTTGCATGCTCAAGTTTACCAAGCAAAGACGGCAAAGCACACGCCAGGAAGAACTACGGTGGCCTTTACTGAAGAAACAGCTTTGGCGTAAGGAATGCCAGGAAGGCCCCATCTTCTTTCTCAAGTGCCAGTCCAAAGACAACCCATGAAGATGAGCAAAGGTGTTGTCTGCAATTTCAATATACCTGTGCAAAGAACTCCCCTGTCAGTCTAGCGCCAAGTGTTGTAGTAAATCAAATAAAATGCAGGTTTGTTCTCAGGACCAAATTGTTTGCTCAAGAGAAAGTTATGTATATACTGGGTGGGGACCAATGACTTAGGACTTCCCAGGTCCAATGACATAAGTGGTTGCCAGGGCGGTTTTCCCTAGTCATCATGGAGGAGGGAGACATGGAAATCTACCTGAGTGAAAAGAAAGAGCGATATGACTTAGGAGTTGCGCAAAAGAGATGCTATCAGCAATTCTTTTTTCAGTCATGTGTTTTGTCCTTGATTTCTACCATTCCAGGAATCCTCAAGAGGGTGTCTTAAGATGTCTTAAGTTTCCTGATCTTGCATGATCTTGCTAGTTTTGGCTTCATGACTTAGGACACATGGCTTGCGGCACGTTGCTCTTTCCTCATGACATGGGAGTTGTGTTTTTGATTATACTTTTGACAAATCCTATGTCAGTCAGTGGTGGCCAGTATATATACAATAGTCTTATAATCCAGAGTCCAGAGGCCTGGATGCATGAAAACCGAGTTGGGGTTAATTGATGCAAGATGCGCGGCTTGCTGGACCTTGATGTAAACCAAAGACTGTGCTTCCTGCGAGATTCCAGTGTGCTGAGATAAAGAGTTCAATGGCCATACCCACCTTCAAGGTTCGCGAAAGAAACACCAAGGCCGCATACTCGACCAAAGGCCACCAAATCTGCCAGAGCTTGTTAGTGCTTAAGTCACTGATATTGAACATCGCATCTGGTGTTGCGTACTGTCTTATTGATCTTATTGCTATTCGTCCCTTCCTGACCGTGTCAAAAATCCAAACACAAAAAATCACATGCCTCCGCATTGATCTCTGGAGATGATTCGCGCAGCGCGGAGGAAAGAGCATTCGTCGCCCGGGCGAGGTAGATGGGGGAGATAATGTTGCACACCTAAGGAAAGGACAAGAGAAAAAGCTCGAAGAAGCAAACATGCATGATCAGGCAAAGTTTCTGGCCTTGGAGAGGACCACACAAATCCACGTTGTCAAAGCACGGATGCGGTTCATGAACACCTTGACGTCAAGGCCACACAATAGCATGGCACCATGAACACCGTCATATCTTACTACAAAGAACACTTGATTCATCAGTCGGTGCAACGTTGTCGTCTTCGAAATCTCATACTGTGCGGCCTCCACAGGTTTTCCAGTTGTGGGCCAGAAGTATGGCTTCAGGACCTTGGGCTTGTGCAATGCTTTGTCTGACCCCCAAACCGCTGACAAATATATATATAATACTATATATATAATCTTATAAATCTTACAATAATATACTCTACTTTCAATGATATCTTGAGACCCACAGGAATAGTGCTCAGCTCCTTTGGAAAGATTCATGAGAATCCACGAGATTGCACTGGAATACAAGATTCACCACTCACTCTCCCTGACCCAGTCACCTGAGTCTGAGCTGTCAACCTTCACAGTTTGAAAAAAGGACAATGCTGAGGAGTACCTTGTGAGAAAACAAAATCCGGCCAGCTGTAGGGTTGTAAGATATGTTCACCTCAAAGTGGCTCACTGGGCATGCTCATCGGCCTGAACACGACCGGACACCACTTCAAGCAGTATGTACATAAAAGGTGTGAGTTGATGCACTTCCAGAAATCTGAGAGCCAACACCTCGTTTTGTTCACTGGTGGTCTCCTGGCAGTTCAAAGTCTGGGATTGATAGTCATGCTGATGGGTCGGACAGCCAGGTTTTTTAATCAAAGAACCACTTAAGCTGCCCGACGTGCTAAGCCTGTTCTCCCCCTAGCTAGGAAAGCTCAGTGTGAACTAAACACTTGCATAACACATTGGCTTTTTGCCAACGCTACATAGTTATATAAGTTATATATTATATTACACAAAACAACAAACAGTATGATAAACAAGGTACTAGCACTCTGCATAAAGCTCTTTTGATTTGATACTTTAAGCCAGCAGCTTTGAGACTTCCGCCTGCTCTATGATTGCGGCTTTCCGGAAGTACGCCCTCACCCAAAGCTGTGAGGCCTGGGTAAAACTTTCAGAATCAAGAAACATGAATAAAACATCTACAGCCGCCAAGAGAAAGGGCCATCCACAGCCATCCAGGGCTCCTGCCAACAACGTGCAAAGGCAGCTGAATGCACCCCATGCAACCTGGGTGTAGCATTATGCAAGGGACAATCCGGGAGAAGGAAGAAACTAGCACAATATGACAAATGTTTCGACATTGATTTAACACATTTGGTTGGTTTCCAAAATGTCTTCTCCCAAAATGGTGCACTCATCGCAATTCCATGGGGGCCCGCTTCTAAATCTCCCTTAAACTCCAACCACACTCAAACCACAGGGATGTTAAGCATGAAGGCATGTCAACTGCAAAAACTGTGAGAGGTGTCTAGCGCGGACCTTTTCAGGGGCCTGTTGAGCTGCTGGAGCTGTTGTTGCTGCTACTGCTGCTGCTGGACTTGCCCATTTTTGTTCTCAGAAATCTTCAGGACATAGGAAGGATGTAAAAGCTGACTCAAAAGATTTGGATGTTTGATGGGCAAGTGGTCAAGAAATGGACCGTCGTCTAGCGCGGTGCTAGCGCGGATCTAGCGCCAGCCTAGCGCAAAAATCTCCGTCGATTTCTTGATCCTGTCAGATTCTTACTTTTCCTGCTTGCTTGTCTTCTTATTATTCTTCTTGTTGTGCATTCTTCTTCTTCTTCTGCTTTGTTTCTTCTTTTTCTTGTCTTGCTTCTTCTTTTTCCTGCTCTCTGCTTGTTTCTTTTTCCTGCTTGCTCATCCTGTTATGAAGAAATCTAGCGCCAACCTAGCGCTGCCTTGCTGTAACACCATAGTCTGCTGGGGGCCCGCTTCTAAACGAAGACTTAAAAACACATCTCCAGCCTTAAAAGTTTACGTTTATCTATATTTTTTTAGTAGGGCCTTTTGAGCGCAGTCCATTTGTTTCCTTCATGGATGGCCAAACAACGGCAAGTTGCTGTTGGAACGAAGATCTTGCCCGCTTGAGGCAACTCCCAGTCAAGTAGCGAAGTCCTCAACAAACGCTGTTCAGTTGCAGTGTGGTAGTGAGATCCAAGCAAGACCGAAAGCATAAGCTTGCAGTTTGCCAGGTTCCCCGCCTGAACATGCCGATCAAAAATGTGACCTTGGAGTTCAAGATCGATCGTTCAAGCTGCAAGCTACTAGTTAAGTTTCCCTAAAATCTAGGAACCAAATCATTAGTGCGAGCGCTTCTTCAAGATAGCTTCCCCCGCCGCCCTACGGGCCGCGGCGGGGGGGAGCTTCCTTTACGAAGCGTGAGCTATCTGTGTCCTAAGTAGTAGCGTTCTTGTAGCTACTAGCGACCTCTCCCTTACTTAATTAAGTGGGGAGGAGGGGGAGCGAGCAAAAAAAAGTAAATAAAGCGCATGGCTGAGAGGAACGTGCACCAGTCTTGTTTTCAAGCGGCGGCGTGTCAAAAAACTGAGTGCCTGAGTGTGCATGACAGTGCACATGGCAAGATTTGACACAATGGCCAGCTTTCGGCCAGCCTGCGTCAGCTTGCGTATTTTGTGCAATGCTGCCAAATGAAGACAAACACATCGTCCAAGACCTTCATCACCAGCAAATCATGGCCTCACTCCCTGTAATGGGCGGAGCGGCGGAGCCGGCAATGATCGCCAACGACCAACGACTTGCATTGTGTCCAGGAGCTTCTATCCAACTGCAGGTACTGCTGCTTCGCTACGAGGATGTACCGCAAGCTCGAGGTCCAAGGAGGCAATCGTTGTGAACTGTCGATTCACTTTGGCCTTGTCTGCAATCGCCTTCAGGGATTCAGGAAGGACGGAACAGCAGATAAAGCTACAAAGACGCTGTGTGTTCGTGACATTGTGCACATCATTGCACAACAGCTCCTCTTCTCATGTTCTTTGGCAACCTCAAAGCTTGAATTCACATTTGTGCTGAGAAAGGTTTGAGCAAGCCTCCTGTGTCAAACCCCAAGCTTTCCAGTGTGACTATACATAATATATCATAATATATCTTACTACAGTATAGGATATGTGACTGTGACTATGTTGTTGGACATCGTGGGTGCATCCGACCTGTTGGTGACTGCATCCGAGGAGCATTGAATGTCTTTGGCTGCGAAGATCTGACAGGTCTAGGCTGCTTCGTTGAACCCAATTGCCTTTGCTTCATTTCTGCCTTCGCATGGATGATGAGCCTTCACTCATTTTCTACTAGTACATTTCGAAAGTCTCAGCTTGCATACAACTCTCACATCTTTGACAAAAATATCAACATGTTCCTTCGTCCCCGCTTGCAACGCTTTTATCTGTATAATATATATGGTTTTGAAAATATCTTGTCGACCTGGTCGACCTCCTGGAAACCATGTTGAAATCGTGCACGCCGTTGAGCTTCAGGTCTTTTTCCTGCCTGGAGCTCCGCCGCCATCTGGTCTTCCTGGCACCGCTTGCAGGCATAGATGAGAGACGCGTAGGTAAACCTCAGCACCAAATCGCTTTCAACAAGCGCTCTTTGGGTAGTCAGGGGCAAGACCAACAGCCTTCTCACAGCTATATAGTTGTAGATCCCTCCCTTTGTGGACTCCAAGTCCCCCCAAAACCGTGGTAAACCAAGCAAGCTGGATTTTGAATATGCCGCAAACAGCTAGAAGCGTGGCTTTCAGTGAAGAACGGAAAGGAATTCACGCTTCTAATGAATTGCATTACTTTGCGCCAAGTATGACTCCTCACCTACCGAATCCTACCGACCTCTGGACTCTCGCACGGGTGAATGTACTTATTGCTCTGGAATGGCCAAGCGACTGGTTTGGAACAACCTTTTTCGACCACATCTCTTCCAGCACTGACCTCGCTTCTGATAACCGCTCAGATTGGCCATAAGCCTTGATCAAGGAGGTGAATGAAAAAACCTTGGTTGCGACTCGCGACAAACCCATGTTTTTGTTTTTCATTGTTTCTTTTCGCAAACTTTTCTTGGTGCTTTGCTGCTGCTTCGCTGGTATTTTCAAGAAGCACTCCCACCTCAAAATGAGTTCCAAGTGACATCCGGTACTAACTGCAACCCCTGCATCTTCTCCATGATGTGCTGCGCCTCCTTTGCTTGTCCAGCTTTGGAACAAGCATCCAGTGCCTCCACATGTACTTGCGCAATCTTGCGCACACATCACACCTTCCACGATTCCATATGGTTCCCCAAACATGCTAGAACTTGCAGCTGCAAAGATGAAAGATTGGTTGGTCAGTCTCGCTCAAGTCACACATCACATCACCAAACTAACCTACTGTATGATACTGTACCGCAGACTTGATGCAGCCAAAATGCTGAATTGAAGCTAATAGTTGAAGGCTGTACAGCACATTCTATCATATCCTCCAATCAAAAAGCAGTTTCACAATTGATTCTTGCACAGTTGATGGGTTGATTGATGAACTGGATGAGTGAAAACTGTTGCAAAGACTCGAGCCGGGTTCCTCTAGCTTCTCGCAAGCGCCATCAGCATTTCCCTGCTTCGCGTAGGCATTGATGACAGAGTTGAAGCTGACCTGCATTCGCTTTGCTCAAACAGGTTCTCAATTTGTGCAACTAAGATCGCTCCAGCACATCCCCTATTCAACATGTACAGGGTTTGCTTCCAAAGTAACAAACGCAAGGAACCACAGCTGAGCAGCCACATCAGCTTGGACGCGACTTGACAGAAGGCTTTGGAGGATTGCTTCAGCTTGGCTTGCATTGCTTGCTTTGGCGCATGCATTCCTGAGCCAGGCTGCTGTGATACCTGTGAAACATAATCACAACCCTGTCTGCAAGGCTCAAAGCTGAGTTGTAGCTGTAAATGTCTGGGATGATCATCATGCCAACCATGTCATCTAACACGGCAGTAGATCTGCTGAGGTCGCCTCAAAGGCAAAGTCAAGCTGGGCCTTTCCAAGAAGTACGAGTGCCTTTTTACCTCCCTCTAACATGGAAGTGGAGTTGGCCACCTGTCTGCAAAGGAAAAATGCCCCTTCAAGCCTTCAAGGGGGATTGTCCATTGTTCACTTTCATCATTGGAGAGAAGGCAAACACAACACTCCGCGCAGGCCTTTCTGGGCGCAAGCTTTCAAAAGCAGATTGAAGCTCCTCACCGTTGGCTGTAGATTTGCCTTTGCCATGTCCTCACATGCAGGCATCCGCTCGTATGGCCACCCGAGCTGGTTCCAAAAAGCCACAAACAGTCACTGAACTTGAGTGCAATCCAAGCCTCAGACAAAGCGGTGTAAGCTTTCTCAACATTGCCTCTTGAAGCCCAGGAATCAATTAGGGCCCCGTAGCCTGAAGGGAATTCGTGCCGAATTGATGAGAAGGCAAGTTGATATATTTCTCCTATAATTACACAAAAGTAATGTTACTTGATGTAGAAACATTTGTGCAAGCCAAAGAGCTGAATTCATTTGGATGCACTACAAGTGATTTCATTGCCTGCAGCAACTCCTCAGCCTCCTCTGCCTACGCAAACAGGAGCATACAATCCTCCCACTCCAAACACAATATATTGCACAATTTGAACTTGAAAAGCTTTCTACAAACCTAGAAGGCACTTTGTGTTGTAACATGAATCAATCGTTTGCTTCCACGCCTTACCAGCCTTCGCGTAACCGTCCAATAAGGTGCTGTAAGTAATCACACTTGGCTGCACCTTAGCATCTAAGCTTGTGATTGGATGCCGTTCCACACGTTCACGCATCAACAAAGGGCATTGATTCTTGTTCACAAAAACATTCCAAAGGCAAAAACTGTGTATCCCACTCCCTGTGTCCGCATCTCCACAAGAACCTCCTCTGCTGCAGACATGTCAGGCCTTTTTGCCAATGCCTTGATCAAAGCCTCAGCGGTTCCAGGTGCCTTCGAGATTCGGTGTTTGTGCCGCTGACCAGCTGCCACAAAAAAGTAGTATTGCATGGTATGAGTGACGTTGTAGGTCAAGAGGTTTGGCTGCAAACCTTGCTGTCGCATCTCATCAAAGATCTTCAGGGACTGTTCACTGACCCCAGATGATGCCCATGCATCGATCACGCTGGTGTACGCAATTGTGTCCTGGCCGAAATGCAGCTCACAGTTCACTGAAACAAGCCTCATTGAGTCGACTGAGCAACTGCAAGGACGCTCCATTGTTTCGTCACTCATTTGGCTTGAAACTTCTCGTTCTCAGGAACGCACGAGTTGTAGGCTTTTCATGGAGAGATCTCTCAACATCTTTTCCGCCTGCTAAAGCACGGAGGCAAACTGAAGCACCAAACAGTCAGCAAGGCGACCGCTGTGACCACCTCTGGAGCCCGGCCACTGCGGCCTAGGGCGTTGATCACCGACTTGTAAAGCACATCATCCGGCTCCAATCCTTGTGACGGAGCCAATCTTGGGTTATCAACCAAGTGAAATCAGTGAGGCTCCGGGCATGTCTAACGTACAAATATATTATATACAGTAACTGATCCATTCTACGGCCATGATAGTCAAAATTACATGAAACTACCATGTTGGTGCATCATTGAATTCCGTATTACATTACCCACGCACTAGGTGTTTCACTTTGAAGAGCGAAGAACGCACCCTCCCACCCACACACACGCAGAACTCACAAGAAACCAACATGGAGAGCATGGCTCGAGTGACATGCATCTCGTCGACCAGTTCTAATGCGAAAGCGCTGTCTGCAGCATTACTGCACGCTGTGATCAAAGCTTGATACCTGGGAACCAAACAACAAATTACTGTTTTCTCGGAATTCAGAACAAATGGGTTTGCGAAGCGCGTGAATCAAGCTTGAAGGTGCTAAACTGTCAATCTTATTCAGCTGACGCAGCCAAGTGGCGTGATTCCTGATGCAGTCTAGAACCAAACTGCCATGTGGCAAGTGCAGTGTAGTATGTGCATATGGCTCCCTCCCCACTGTTTCAGGTGGCAAGCGCAAAAACCATCCAAGCATCGGTCAGGTTGAACTCCTTCGATCTGCATCCTTTTTTTACATGCCATGGCTTTGTTGATGTTTGCACCTGAGAAGCTGTTCCGAAGTCAAAGTACGGGAGACATGATCAACTGCACAAACAAACTCTATTCCTGTCAAATAGACAAAGTGACTTGGTCCAAGTAGCTCTTTGCAGCCGCATCGATTATGCAATTAAACATCCTTCGATTGGCCACTGAGAAATCTTGAAAATTGACGGTTGCTCTCACACAAAGAAAGACAATCAAGGGCCAAAGTACATTTCACACTTCATAAATTTGCAGGGGAGGAAAAGAACTGTTGACACTGCATAAAGCAAAAAAACGTGGAGCCTCACCACTGTTGGGTGGAGTGGAGATCCATTCTCTTGATGTGCTTCGATCTTAGATTCCCTTTGTGTTTCTAGGTGCATACTCGGCTTCTCCGTGGGAGGCTCGCGCACAAGCTGACTAAGCATCACAAAGTACTCCTTCCATGGGTCGTTTCACGTCAGGTTGTGTAATATTCTTTGAGTGCGTTTCTCTCAACCGTCTTTTCTCTTCTCCCCCTTTTCTTTATTTGTTTTCCCTTTTCTCTGGCTTCGCCGTTCCTTTCGCCGTTTCTTACTTTCTTCCTTCTTCTTTTTCCTCCTTATTTGTTCTTACTAAGTTTTGTGGGAAAGGTTGTCAACAGAATGTTAAAGCTCTTGAAAACCAATCTCTTTGAACATCCCGCTCTAGTTTTATATCGTTTGTCCGCTTTGTGTTTCTCTGGCTCAGCGCCTCAGCCTTGATCAAATTGCCTGCCTTCCCTGCAGCCTGAAAACGAATCGCACAACATGGTTCCAAACTGTTATTAAGATTGTAAATTAATGATTCCTTTGATCAAAGGCTAGCCGAAATGACGTGTGTCAACAATTGGCAAAAAGGGACACACCTTGACACCTCTCAATCCAAGACCGTAGGAGCCTTAGACATGAGTTCGCTGGTGCAGCGCGCCTCCAGCATCTTGCCTAAGCCCTTAGGGTTCTGCTGCACGTTCATCTCTTGAAGATAGCCAAGCCAGTACTCTGCACGCGTCAAATTCCCTGCGTTGGCACACGCCTTGATCAATGTGTTGATTCGCCTCCTCGAAAAGACAGACTCGAAGTGTCTCTGGAAGGAAGTCTCAAAGGTTAGCTTACTAGTAGTGATGGCCTTGAACCTAATAGGAATGGCCTCCAACCTACGTAGTAGCTTCTGGTTACTAGTAGTGTCGGAAAAGCAACAACCATTTTGTTCAAATTGTCAATGTCACAAGTGAGGCCCTTGTGATTCACCTGGATGGGGATTGAGAAGTTCCACAAGAATGAATAGCTTACATTAAAGCAGCTGGTGTCCTGAACAGGCTTCTTTTGTAGGGCAACTTGGTGTAGTAGTGCTCTGTGTTTGCAATATCTCCCTCTTCAGCATACTCGTTGAACCGGGCTTCAAGGTTCTGCACCAAGCAATGCAAAATGCAGGCTCTCCGAATTCCTTTCGCGTGATGTTTGATGCTCTCACAGGTTCCTCTTCAGGCCTGCTGGAGTGAATCCGGACCTCAAAGTCCACTGCACATTGCTTGTCTCAACAGGTTGATGGAAAACACAAGCAAACTTGCAAGGGAGCAAACTTGCCTAACACGCCTCAGCAGTTGCATGCAGTTGCTATTTCTTTCCCACATGCTTTTGAAAGGAACACATTCGCGTACTCACATTCCAATGGTGTAGATACTTCCAAAGAGAGCCTTTTGATGTTGCTGCCAAAGGGCGCACCTCCGCAAAATTGTTCCTGAATTTGCAAAGCCAGGTGTTTTTTTCCTCATGAGTGTGCTGAGGACTCCACTGCTCAAGAGATGCTAGCAGGAACCACAAAATAATGATGATGCGACATCCTGCAGTGCTGGAGCGTTCGATTGACATGGTTCAATGATGTTGTGAACAAAGATATTGATGATTGATTGTACTCATGTCCTTGGTGCACGCGCTTTGCCTTCATAACCAACCATGGGCACCAAACTGTGCAATCCTATTTGCAAGCTTTGAAATCAATGAATCAATGCAAAGTTTTCGCGACATGCTATTTGACAAATGAACATATCTAGAGCTACGACATGCATGCCTTGTCTACTACCAGCAACATGCAAGAGTTAAAAAAAGCTGCGAACTGGCTTTCGCCTTTCGCCTGAGCCAACCATTTCCATTGCCCATCATAATCTAGTGGCTTTCCAAACTACAAACTGAGATGGACTGAGTGTATAAGATATGCAGAAATATCATAAAAATTAATCTTACTTTCATACAAAAAACACACGACACGTTTCTCTCAATGTGTCCAGCAAATGTCTATGCGCATTCGACTTCAATGCATCTCGAGTGCTGAGGATCCCTGCTAGCACCACTCGCCGACACATTCGTGTGTCTTCCTCCGAAGTCGCCTATTCTGCAAGCAGCTGACAGTAACCCATTCCTTGTAGCATTCTACTGGATTCTACTTTCAGCTCTTCTCGTGAATATTGAATCTTAAACTCATGCATTGCTTGGCACAAAAATATGGCATTGTGGTGGTGCTGCATGCCTCATTAATTACAGTATGTAAGTGTCTGATTTGACCGCAATCTAGCCGCCAAGTGCAACTGCTTTTTTCAAATCACCCGGACGACAAATGCCAGCAGTGTGAGATGCTGCGTCGTGATTTCAGGTGGAAATCAACAACAACTAGGCAAGAGTATGAAATTAGAGGGGGATTTGCCATCCTGTCAAAAGCTGTCAAAAGTATTGCTATCACTTCGCCACTTCTGCGATTTGTGGTGCAAGGACAATGATGGGAAGTAGCGCTCCTCCCCGCGAACGGACCAAGTGCTGTGTGGTCTTGGGCTCCATGGTTTGACCTCGCACTGCAGAACCGATCACCTGTTCCTTGCAAACATCTGGACGCATGCCAGGTGGATTCACCAGAATATCTGGATGCTCATAGTTCACTGACACCGCAGGAATGATGGTCAAACCCGCAGCTTTGAAAAGCTCTAAACGATGGTGACCGTCAATGACCACATCATATTGAGAATCGATGATGATCGCTGGCAAGATCTTCACTGGGAGGTCTCGGACATACTCCTGCAGTTTCTCTGCCCGGTCTGTCAAGACCTCTTCGTGAGGACGTAGATCATCAATGTGAACCAAGCGAACGCCTTCAATGACATCTGGATTTACATCAGCTGAAGTACCGAAGGTCATCTGCTTTCCTAGAGACGCAGCATTGCTTTGTCTGCGTAGTAGCGCCTGGTAGAGAACCGAGAAGTCATAAGGTCTTCGCACGGCCAATCTCACAATGCTTGGTTTGTCATACCCAGATGCGGCATGGCGAATTGGACAGCCACAATGCAAGGCAGTTCGATATACATCCTTGGCATCATCCGTACTTCCAGTATCAATCCAGATCCACGAAAGCCATGGTTTCCCAAGGAATTGCCAGGTTGGATGCAATCTTTTTAGACGTGTCACCATATGCAAGCGCCAGGCAGGAGTTTCAGCCCAAGTTCTTTCCAGGTAGCTACGGTCCTCCATTGCCGCCCTCAAATACGCTCGGGCAAAAGCCGTCACAGACCAGGGCACTTGCATTGCGAGCAAGGAATCTCTCTTTTCCTGAGTCGGGCACAAGACTGTCCCTATTCTAAGTCCGGTGCAAGCGAAAATCTTTGTCCACGACTGCACCAAAAAAATGTGGATATGCTTCTTGACCATGCTGTCAACGAAGTGAGAGCTCACGCCCCGCTGCTGAAAGTCTGGTCCAGCCCAAAAAAGCATTGACTCGTCTACCAGGACCCAGCTGCCAGGTGCGGCATTGCTGGAAATCCATCCTTCAATCTCTTCTCGTTCCATAAAATCTCCTGTGGGATTGTTAGGATTCACGAGGCAAATGATTGACGCCTCCGTAGGATTGTCTGTGGTTCCCCGGCCGGCATTGGTGCAAGCACGCTGGTATTCCCTGTATTGCACCTCTGTTTGAGGGTTAAGGCAAAACTTGCCTTGTGGAGCTGCGCGTGCCAAAAGGTCTATCAGCTCACTGGCCCCATTTCCAAAGATCAGCTTTTGTGCCTCATTTGGATCCCCTCGAAGAAAGGTGGCGACCAGATTTTCTAACGGCTGATCTGCCCGTTGTGGATAGTGCTCAATTGCAGGAGAGGAGGTCACCTTCTGGTCTGCACCCAAATGCATATTCCAAGTTTGCAGAGTTTCAGGGCCTTCCAAGAGCTGCTTCACAGCCTCTACGGCCGCTGGTACAGGGCCCAAGGCATTGGTCGTCACCGAGAAATCACAAACAAGGCGGTCCACCTTGTGAATGTCATCACCTCCATGAGTTTCTGCGCCGAAAAAACGACGAGAATGAGATCTCGCAAATGTCCAAACAGGACACCTCACCGGGAAGCTTGCGCGGCGCACTATGGCCGCTCTGCCAGCCTTCACTAAGCTGGCCATGGTCCCACACTGTTTTCGATCTTGAGTTGAAACGACAGAAGGATACAGCAAGCATAGGCATAGCTCAATAATTTGCTCATTCCATACTAAGAACAAGAACGCTACTAGGGGCTCCTGGCATCGCTACTAGGAGCAAGGACGCTACTAGGGGCTCCTGGCCTTACTACCAGGAACAAGAAGCTACCAGGGGCTCATAGGGGCTCCATCTCAAATGTGCACTTGCACATGGTTGCACAAGTTGGACACTGCTAGACTCGCATAAAGCCCACCTGTTTCTTGCACGAAATCGAAACGAAGCTTGCCACCAGCACCTGAACTTTCTCATTGGAGCAAAAGCACGCAAAACTCCATAAAACTCCCATCCAAATTCGCTTTTAAACCAACTACAATCACAGGACTGAGTGTCTGACATCTCTTATCCATGCGAACAAGAGCCAGTCAGCAATGGACGCATCAAAACTCCAGGTTTTAACCTTCAAATCACGGGCATCACGCGAACATGGCCTGGGTCTAACTCACTGCCCTTCAGCGGCCTGTTCGCTCCACCAGGTGTCCATCTTGAACTCGAATGGTGACCATAGGAAAAAGGCAACCTGCGAAAGATATCAGCCTTCCCAAAAGGGGTGTGTAAATAAATATGCAAAAATTGGATTGGATGATCCTGGATTTTCCTGGATGATCTATATCACTGGTTCTAAAACACCAAATGTGCTAAGCTGCTGGCAGCCACCGCATCAAGAACAATTGTTAGCCTGAAGAATCAATATTTCAGAGTACATGTCGTCTACCGTATGTATTTACTGGATTAGCAGGAGGAGGGAGACCAAGCACGACCACCTCGAGCAAAGGAAGCATGCAACACGAATATAGAACACCGGACATGCTTTTGCGGAGTTTGGGACCAAGACAGAACGCCCAATGTTTTGAACCATCTATGAGTGTAAGCAATCGTACCGTGCCGTGTGAGGCCCCAGCATGGTATACTATTCATTGAGATGGAAAACAATAGTTAGCAATCGAAACAACAATGAACAAAGTAAAGTAAACCCCTCTGTACTTACCTTCCTTCTATATAAATACTGTTGTATTTTCTACTTGGTTCCAAACATTTGTATACATTTGTTGTATATATTATGGATTGATCTCTCTTTGATTTCGCTTTTGACTTCTGAGCGTTTGACGCCAAACATGCTCGCCACAAATTCATTCTTCTGGTCTCCAGCTCTGCCTCAAAAGAACAGTCAGGAGGCGGCACTCTATGGTGTTGTGGTGCAACTTGCAAACCATCTGCTTCAAACTCTTCACATGCATCCTCCCTCCCTCACCCAGCAGGGCACCCGCATCTATATGTACAAAGTCAATCAACATACTTTACATCATTTGCAGGTTGCACGTTGCAAATATCACTGTGCCAAGGGCGTGACGACAGGCGCCAAGGGCGCACGACCTGAACGGTTGCAACAATATCGGTGACTTTGGCTGCAATCTTTAAAGAACGCATCATGTTTTCAACACATCAGCGCACGCTAACCTTGAGGACATGCGACCCAAATCAAGCAACATCATGCGCAAAAGCCCAAGAAGGAACTGGCGACAAATGACCGTGCTGGCCTTCTTCCATGGACAGCATCATCTTGAATGATGCACGGCGAAGCGGACCAAGCAGCTCAATCAGTGAAGCGGCAGGTGGAAAGGTGGCAGCACATCAAGAAGCTTGCAAGATGTTTTTGGGTGCATCCAGTGCAAACCTGCCTTGCATAGTTTAACGGACTGAGAAGAAGGGTGTGGCCAGCATTTTCCCCCACCAGGTTTTACCAGCTGCCTACGTCGTACGTTGAAACATGTCCATTGCCAACTACATTACATCCCCTGAGTAACTCTTGTTGTGTGCCGTCTTCGTTGTGATTGCAATTTCTGGCTACCATGGCTACCCACTTGCAGCTGTGGTTCTTTGCTCGTACTCGCTGCTGCACATAAGAGTGCACAAGTAGGCCATAGGTTTTCATTGCGCTCACACACAATCTCTGAAAGCAATGCTGCAACACAACAAGCTGACAAGCACTTAAGCCATGTCAAAGAATGGCTTTGGCTCGCGGTATCCACAATGTCATCATCTGTCTTGCCTTGACTGCTTTTCGTGATGGCCCAACATGGGTCACGCACCAAGCGAAGGTGAACATGGCGAAGACCAACGCAGTGTGGAAGCTCCGTCGGGTCAAAGTTTGGGAGCTCTCCACTTCCAGTTTGGCTTCCACACCATAGGTATCTCACATGTTTCACATACCGTTTGGTTGCTGCGTGTCATTCTCGCTTTGCAAAGTCTCCTGAGTCAAGTCGAGGGTCCAGTCGACTCTCAAGAGCGAACCGCGAGGTCGGATACCATGCGAACCGAGTGCCCTGCCGAGTCAAGCTGCGAAGATCAAGATAGCCAACTCTAAAACGTAGGAAGTCATCTCCCCTAGGCCACGGCCTTTATGATCTCTATGCTTGTGCCAACCATCCCTTCACAAAATTAAGGGC